CCGCTCTGCCCTGAAATCCCCTGATAGGCATCTTTCTGACTCCTGGTGTTACAAAAACTGTTCCCATCCGTCCTTGACCCTGTTAAAGTTGATCCTAGATAGGGGAGATAAGCTTTTGCAGGGGTAGTTTATGAGACCCTCTCTGAATAAGCAGTCCTTAGATGATGCCTTCGTGCTGGGGGGTGGGGGATGGCTGGTTTTTATGTGAGATATTAATGCTGCAGAGAGAGCCTGTACCAGTCTTGATTCCTATGATTTCCCCTTCAGCTTCATAAACTTTGTTAAAAGTTTCACTGCTTTTCTTCAGAGTCAATTCTGATAAATTTAAATTTTATGTTTCGAGATATAAAATTATTTGTTGCTAGTTTTTTCTTGTTGTGGTTTTTTTCCTCCTCATTTTTTCACCTGGTGTCATAGTATTCAGGCACATTGTGTTTCACTATTCAGCCTCTATGTGCTTTCTCTGTCCTGAGTGTATTTATTAATTAATTTCTTTTCTATGTTTTGAAGACCTATTAATTTGAAGTGCTATTGTTACAAGTGCTTAAATCTTGAGTTAAAAAAAAAAAAAGCCCACAAACAGAACAACCACTTTGCAAGGTGGCAGAAGGCTTGTTACAGTAATGTAAGTGCACTTAATGCCATAATGTCCCTTTGCTTTCAAGAGGCTTTGGTCCACGGAGGTCTTCAGGCACCTGGCTCTTGCAGCAGGATCTGGACTTGTGGCTCCTGCATTATAAAATGCAGGGGAGAATTAGGAAGCTCAGCATGAGCTTTTTGAAAAGTGGTATGCTGAAATTAATTGTCTAATGTGATAAATGGGAAAATGAAGACAAGGGTGAAGTAACCAGAAATGGGGTCCCTTTGGAAGTTTCTTTTATTTTTGGTTGGGTATTTTCGGGGTTTTTTTGATGGATATTTTCCATGGCAAGCCTGGAGATACCTGAGCTGTGTCCCTCTGAGTGAAGTGCAGCCACACCTGAGCTGGAACCTCACGTGGTCTTCTCGTGCCATTTCATGCATACATAGGATGGCAAAGTCTTTCTTTTCATCTGAACTTGCATACTTGGTCTCAGCAGGATGTAATGGGTCTGCAATGAGGTTTGTGGCTGAGTTTGTCAGAAATAGGTGGAATATTTCTGCTTTGGTTAGATTTCTTAAAATAATCCAGCTTCTGCCTGAGTGAAAGCAGCCCGGTTGCAGGATCCCATTGCAAGGCTGGAGAATCGGGGTCAGGCTTCCCTTTGCTCCCAGCTTGGAGAAGACCTTTGCAAATGGACAGTGGTCCGTCGAGATAATGATGAAGGCGTTTAGTTCTCTTGGGGAAGCGTCATTTAATTATTCATCATGAACTGTTTGTTGAACTCGGCTTGCTAGGATTTTGAATAGGACGTTTTGAGCTGGTTTGTAAGCAGAGCAAAATGCAGGAGGGAATCGTATATAAATACTGTATGACTGCCTGCTAATTATTTATTTACTGATCCATGGAAACAAACAAACATAACCAGCATTAAACTAGCCATTGAAGTTAGCATCAGTGCCACATGCAAAGGCATAAAAACTTTAAGAAAAAAAATGCTTTTTAGGAGAAAAGCACACTTTTTTATTGCTGCCATTTACTTTGAACATCTTGGAAGGGGGCAGTACTGTGATACTCAGGATGCACGGCCTAATGGCATTTTGCTTACAATTGGGTAATATATTGTGTTCATGTGCATAATACAAGCAAACTCCCCAAAAGTACAAGTATAGGGCAGCATAAATGTGATGCTAGCAATCACTAGCATGACTAAGTGCAGAAAGGGAGTGCAGGTGATGATAATTTATCAGGTGGCTAAATAAAGACAAATGGAAAATAACTATGATGGGGACGTACTGATTCTCTCGGAGATGACCTTTTACATATAGAAACTAGTATTTTTTTGGAAACTGCCAAATCAGATCTCAAACCAGCTTGCACCAGGTGTATGTTTTGTAGTTTACAACTAAGGAAAGTTCCATTTATATGTAGGTATTTGATTAAAGTCCTTGGGAGTCACTGAAATACAATCCTTCTAGATCGTTACAGCTCTCCATGAAAAAGACTGAGATACCAGTTGTAAGAAAACAAAACACCCCCCCCTAAAAAAAAAACCCAAACAAAAAAAAAACCAACACCAGAAAAACCAAAACACATTGTATAACTAGTTTGTATTCTGCTAAGACCAGTTTTCTGTACAGGAAAGGAGCTCTGATGGAAGGGGAGCTCTCAGACGAGTCTTTCTTTGGAAGAGAAGAGCAGGCAGTCTGACACGAAGGCTGTGCACACAAAACTTCTTCCAGGCTCTCAGATTCCTTTCTCTTGTAGCAATCAAGGGGGACAGTTTAATTACGTTAAAATTATGACTAAAATTATGACTTAAAATTATGTACTAGATCTGGTAAGTGCTACACAGATAATGACTGATTGGGCTGCTGAGAGGCTCAAATCAGTAGAAAGATGTTTCCTTGGCAATAATAGACAGGAGATGCATCTGCTGTGCCTTCAAGATCATGTAAAGCTTCCTTTAACAACATTTTCCCTATTCACTGTGAGTGAGACCCTACTCACACCCCTGAAACATGGGATTGTGTTAACTTTGGCCCTCCTGATGGCATGGAACCTTGCTAACTTTGAGCAGTAAGAGAAAAGGGGTCAAAAGCTGGGAAGAATCAAATCACTAATTGTAATCATTTAAGTAATTAAAGTGCTGCTGCTGGAGGCTGATTATGGATTTTTATACACCTCAGCTTTTTCATGTTAGGAGAAAGCACCCTTTTATCTCTTTTCCTTTGTTGCATTCTTCTTATGCATTGGAGGGAAAAAAATGAGGAGTTACTGAACTCTACAAAATGGAATGAAATCCTGTCTTTAAATGCCAAGGCCTGGAGTATAGGAGGGGAGGAGCAAAGTTCATCCCTTCTGTGATATTCCGAGTTAGTTCTGAGTGAATTTATAACCTTAAATATAACTTATTCATAATACTGTATTAACAAATAAAACAAATTTTGATAACTATATCTACAAAATGTAAATTAAGGAAGAAGTGGTTATCTCTTCAGTTTCTCTGTATCTATCAAGGATGTCTTTGAAGGACTATCCAGTTATTAGAAAAATAATACAAAATTTTAAAATAGGGAGTAATGCTTGTTTTTCTGCAAACTTTGTTTGATTTCTCAGCATGTTTCTACACATATGTTTCTAGACATTAAAAGGACTGCCAAGGTGGTATTGGGATTATCCAAAATGGCAAAGACAAATTCAGTGCATAAATGAATGACATTATATGAGGGATAGTTTTCTGTGGATAGGGAAAAAAAATTGAGAAGAGGCAGAACAGTGCATATAGAGTTCTGCAAACTCCATTACATGTGTATCCAACGCATGCAATAAGAATTGAACAATTTGAAGTTAGAATTGCTGCACGTCGTCCCTTTTCATGGCCAGTGCTTAGCCCTTGGACACTAAAAGAGGGGCAAGTTACTGGGTTCTTCCCAGAGTCATGAGATCACGATCTCGTAGGATGATATTATCTAGACTGTGAGCAATACTGGGGACACACTAACTGGTGGGGTTTGGGACTTACAGGAATATTTTTTGCTGACATGAGGGATTGGGGAAGAGTCTACATATTGTCTTCTGTGATATAAAGAAAACAAAATCCCCTTTTCCTGTGGTCTGCATTAAAACCAAAAGCAACAGTAAATTTTTCTGGGCTATCTCTAACCTAGCAGGTTAGCCACTAGCATCACTATGTATTTTGCCTATTCCCTTGAAATTTATACAATTTATTGAATGAGTCACTTTGGTTAAGGTTCAAAAATAATTGCTGCCGTGAGTGCTTATGAGAAAGTAACTGTCAGTATAAAAGTATAAAAATTTTTTTATGTGCATTATATGGCTTAATTCTTGCAGAGACTAAAGGAACTGAAACAGAGGGAGTTTGCTCGAAATGTAGCATCCAAGTCACGAAAAGATGAAAGGAAACAGGAAAAAGCCCTTCAACGTTTGCACAAGCTAGCTGAGCTAAGGAAAGAGAGAACGTGGTAAGTGCATAGCTGCTGAAACACAAAAAGGGCTTTAAAATAAGCCACTGGTGCTGTGGAATACAGGGCTGCCGGAGTACCTCAGCTCAGAGCCCCACACAGGCATTTTATGGTGTTTTTGAAGCCATATGTGTACAGTAATTTGATTCACACTATGCAAAGAAATGAATGTTTAACATTGCTTTTTCAGTGGAGCTGAAATGACATGTATTTTTAGTTTCAAAAAAGATGTGTTTCATATATATTTCATCAAACCAGGCACGTTGGTTGAAAGCTGAGAGAACTAGGTCATGCATTTGAAGGCTGACACTACTTCATTGATGAGGTGAGGAATGCAGTCTGTCTTTCTGGGATGTAACAGATCTCTGCGATTTAGTTTTCAAACTGCTTGCTTGGGAAAGCAGCCAGAAATCTGGTTTTAAATTTCAATAATAGGATTTTTCTATAGTAGAAGGTAAGTGCTTCTTTTCCCCAGCTCAACAAAGTGTTTACCTCTTCCTGCGTAAGTGACTCCTTGCTCTAGTTGTGCCTTTTAGTTTTGAATATGCGATTAATAGTGAGCTTGCTAGTTATGACTACTCTTCCTTTGATACATGATAGTTACAACACTGACAAGCCACTGAAAATATAGGTACCAACCTTTCATAGTGGAATCTCAGGGGAAAAGGGGAAAAAAGCAAAAAAAAACTAGATGCTAGAACGCAAATGCTTTTTTTCTCTCTGGCCTTTGTTTTACCTGATAAACTAACAGACAAGTCCAGCCAAGTTGTAGCTCTCGTTCAGTATAGTCTCTGTAGTTTGGACAGTGGGCAGCAAGCTAAAACAGAGTCTCTCTAAGCAGATGAATGGGACACAAATGCCGTGAGGGCTGTTTGACATGAGAAATGTAACATCTAATTTTTATTTTTGTTTTTTTTTGTCATTTTATGATAACTCTCTTTGACCAGTTTTTTAACTGTCCAGATTTAATACTTGAGGATCATGATTTTTATGTTCCCAGCTTTAGCTATTATTCCCCCTAAACATACTTCAAAATCTGACATATTTCAGGAGAAAAAGGAAATTACTCTTTCTGGTTTTCCATGCTATTGAAGCACGCATTTTGCAGGGTTTTGTTGTTTCTGCTTTTTTTTTTTTCTTTGTTAGATATCCTTCTTCTGGTTCCTGAAGGAGAATTTATTTCAGAGCTTTATTTCTCTATTTAAGAGTTGCTATTTAATGCATTCTTAGAGGTGTGATATAGACAGACACACAGGATTTTTTTAAGCTGGCATTTTCTAGGTGGATTTTTCAGATTTTACCATTTTATTCTGTTAAAGAAAGGATTTGTGTGGGTTTTTCAATATACCTTTTTAATTTATGAAGAACTGGTCAAGGCAGGAATTCTCATGAGGAATTCCTTTCTCGTAAAACCTCTGCGTTTATTTCTAGACCAAATAAACGGGGTTCGTCATTCTTTATCTCAGCACTTCTTGGGATCCTAAATGATATGTGCAAGTTTTCCCAGTGACCCGTCATCTAGTATTGCTCTGCTCTGTAGCAAAAAATAGTTTGGTTTATAAAACAAAAATTCTTTTAAGTCCAGTACTCCCAGTGCTGAGCATTTCCTGTGGATCCTGGTAAATTAGCAGGCTAAACACTTTTTTCTTTTCTCTTTGCTTTCCTATTAAGTCAAATAGAACAGATGGGAAGGGGACATGGAACGAAGAACAGAAGTAGACAGTGATAGATTTTTTTCTCAAGAAGGATGAATCACTTACTTCACTACTGTCAGCTGAAATCCTCTCCTCAGTATTATTTTTCTGTGAAAGAAATTGCTGACATTACGACGGTTCGGTCTGTGAACACAAATAGGACGGGAGCTGCTGGGTGATCGCCCATGGGCAGAGCAGCCGTCACTAGGATGATGACTAAGAGGGAAGTAATCTATGAGGCTACTCTCTGTTTTAGTATATGTTGTAGCACAAAGGAATATCGTAATAATGTTACAGCCACAATGGTCTGCTGGGAGGAGGAGTACAGTTTCTAGGGAGATACACAGTCTCTTGTTAGGCCAGCTAGTACATCTAGGAAAAGTGAACTACCTGGTAGGAGTATTAGCCCTTCAGCTGGTAACTTCACATGGAGGAACTGGGGGCACGATATTTACTTTTTCTTTTTTTTTTTTAAATACTAGTCTACTGATCTTGTTATAAAAGATGACTTTTTAAATCTATGTGTCCACAGATCCTTCCTTTTTCTTTAAAAAATCTCCCTTAAGATACCAGTGTAACACTATTTCTCACTGCAGTTTTCTGAAAGGTACTAATTCTGAGTTTGTTTTCCTTCCTAGTGCACCTGGAAGTGGCCCCATGTTCAAATCCACTACAGTGACTGTGCGAGACCATCGCAATGATGTCCCACAAAGTGCTGCCGACAATTCTGCCGGCAAACAGGATTTCAGCTATTCGTTAACGCAGGATGCTCAGAATTGTAAAGATGTTGCTTCTGTTAATTCTTCCACTCCCGGAAATGGATGTAGTAATAAATCTGATGCTAGCAAATGTGGAGATCAGGTTCAAGGAGCTCAAGGACATAGAGTTGGGTTCTCTTTTGCTTTTCCTAAGAAAGCAGCGGTCAAACTGGAGTCTTCAGCTGCCGTGTTCTATGAATATAATGACGAAACGTCTACAGAGCATGGATTTAGCCGAAGAAGTAGGTTTGTTCCAGGAGCGTGTAACCTTCAGTCTCCTTCAGCAGCAGAAATAGTCCTGTGCCCTGAGGAGAAACATAACTGTTTTCATCCACAGCTGGAAAAATGCATAGACATAGCAGAAGCTCCTGAAGCTCAGGAGTCAAAAGAGCTGGCCAGTGAAGAAAGCAGGGTGCTAGAGAGCCCCATGTTAACTCCTGCTGTGTCCCATTCGAAGCACATGGTGTCCTCGGACATGGGTGGCCATGGTATCGATGTCAGTGAAGCAGGTCTACCAGACCAGACTCTGCCGGTGTTTGTGGAGAGTACTCAGGTCCTGCCCCAGGACTGCAGCGGTCATGAGCTCCAGGCAAACACGACTCTGGTGCAAGCAGTCATGGAGGATTGTTTATCTGTGCAGGATGTCACGGAGGAAAATGATAAAGAGAGGAGCAGTGGTTCATCCACAACTGAAGCTGAAATTAAAAAGCTAGGGGCAGACGCATTAGTGCCATCACCGTCTGATGAAGGTAGTAGTGGAACCCCACAAAGCAAACCAGACATGCACAAGAGACCTTGCGAACCCTTTTTTCCTGTTCTTAGCAAACACGGATCAAATATTCTTCAGTGGCCATCAGAAATGTTAATTTACACAAGTACACACCCATCCATTTCTTATAGCTGTAATCCTTTATATTTTGATTTCAAGTTATCAAGAGCAAGTGGCAGCCATGAAAAGCCCAAGCATCAGCCAAACATACCTCATTTGAACCATAAAACTGAATCCAACCATAGCTTAGTTTCGGATTTTACAAATAAACCTACTTCAGAGTGTAGTGATTATGAAACTGAAATGAATAAAAATGCATGCAACTATACAATACCCCTTAAAAGTGATATTTCCCTCATCAGAAATTGTGATCTTGCAAAAAATCAAACTAAAGTGTCCTTGGATGAGTCATTCAGGATTAGAAAAATAGAAAAGTATCATATTTCTAAAAATCACTTACGACAAAACACTGTGATAGATGAGAAATATAACAAAGTTTGGATCAAAGAAGGCCATGAGAAATGGCTTCACAGAAGTAGAAAACGGAAAAGGAGAAAAAAATTATGCCGTTGTCATTGCCATCACTGTGGGGAAACCACAGGGGCAGAAATGGAGATGTCGTCAGTGACTGAAAAAGAAATTAGTTACAGAGATGAAACTAAGTATCAGCAACTCCTAAATATTCCAGAGAAGAGCAGACATGATGCGGGGAATATCTGCCTAGATCCAGATGAGATACAGCAGTCACATCAAAAAGCTGGCATTGAAAACAGTCTTAAGAGAGCCATGTCTGTGCCAGATCACCTGAATGGGGACAGAGGCTGGTGTGATGTGTGGAGTGCAAAAAACAGCGGCCAACACCGTGTTTGTAAACGACCACGCAGAAAGAAGAGCAAAGCAAATTCTCAGAGACAGGCAAAGCAGCTGGCTCCACATTCCAGGAGGCACAGCTTAAGGTACTCCGAAACATGTTGTAGCTGGAGAATCAGAAGGTCAAGCTGTAGCCCAGAGCATAGATGTTTAGGACACTGCAGGGAGGAGAAGAGTCCAAGTCAAAACCAGTCTATAAAGAGAGGTTACAACGTTTTGACAGAGGAACCTGAAAAATCCCGCCGCAAGAGGAGGCAGCATACCTATTCCTCTTCATCAGACGAAAGCTCCTACGGACAAATGTTATCAGCGGAGGAACATCTAAGGCAAGCACGTACCTTAGGTACACATCACAAAGCAAAAGGGAAACACAGGAGAAGGAAAACTAAAATCCGTCACGTATTCCTTGACAGGAACTCAAGTGAGACCTCCAAACCTTTCAAAGAAAATTCTCCAAATTCTACAATAAGTATTTTAGGGGATTTCCTGCCTCGAGACAGTCTAGAGGAAATTAATGTGGATCTCAAAGCTGATAGTGCAAAAGATACAGATGAAACAATGCAGCTGGAGGAAAGCATGTCATCTCTAGAAACCAATAGTTCGCACGTGCTGGAAAATGACAAAGTGACAACGTGTGCTGCAATGGAAAGCGCTCCCGGTACATTTTCTGACATCATCGCAGATTCTACTGCTTCTGCTCCTGAGCACAGTGCTCCAGCAGCTGCCAGCATGCAGAAAGTTCTACAAGATGAAAAGAAAAGAGAAAATGTCAACAGCCCTGAAAATCAAGCTCATTACAAAGTTCCCCTCTCCAGCAGACATTTGGAACAAGCTCTTCCTAAATCCTATCTTTGCCATTATGAATTTGCCGAGTCTCTACCGCAGGAGAAAATAAACGAGGTGACCGGTGAATGGGTACAGTGTAGTCCTGGCTCATTCAGCAGCCCACCACCCTTGCCGTTCAAAGAAGCACACGTAAACAGTCATACCTTTTTAACTGCTGAGCAGTTAATAGCCCCCTTCACCCTACCTGATCAGACATTGATACTTCCTCCAGATAACCATGAAAAATTCAAAGATCTCCCATCTGAGACATATCACCAGATCATGCCACAAAATGTGCTGGCCAGCAAAGTCAAGTTCACCTTCCCTCCTCCGGCGCTCCAGCCCCTGAATTCCCCGCTGCAGCCCTACCCCTTGCAGCCGCCGCTGCGTTCTACCTCCGTGACCACCATCCATCACACCGTCCTCCAGCAGCACGCTGCCACCGGCACCTTGAAGGTCCTCCAGCCCCACCACCAGTTCCTCTCGCAGGTCCCGGCTCTTTCCAGAGCTCCTTTACCTCATCTACCAGTCGGACCGCGACTCTGCCCGGGGAGCCACGCGCCTTTCGTCCCCCCACCGCATTTACCGCTGCTGCCACCCTCGATCCTGCACCCCACCCAGCTGGCCTTCCCCCCGCTGCCCCATGCCGTCTTCCCGTCCCTGCTGTCCCCACACCCAGCAATCATCCCCCTGCAGCCCCTCTTTTAGGATGGGTTCTCGGGGATGGGGGAAGGAGCCTTTAGCTAAGCAGTCCTGCTGTTTCCCCCAGCCCCCCTGGCTTTGCAAAAAGGTTCTGTGAAATAAAAACTGGTTAAAATGCCCCGTTCCTTGGGAAGCTTTTACTGTAAGTATAATGATGCAAACATTCATGTAAAGTTCAGACCTAAACTATAGCTAAAGCACTGAATAGTCTGATACTAATAAGAACTCTATATAAGTGAAAATTATGTCTTAGAATATGTATAATGTATATAAAATATATTTATAGTTCTATAACTTATGTTGTAAAGTATTCACTTTTTGTTTTTTTATCTCTGTGTATTTGCACTTATTTAATGTTTAGACAAAGCTGATGCACTATGTTTTGTACTCTGTTCTCTGAAGCTGTAAATCTAGTGATAACCTATCTCTTGCAATAAATTTTTGTTAACTACTTAATTATATCAAAAAATCTTTCATTATATCTTTCATGGATGTTGTTCTTCCATGTTCTTCTGCAGCTGAATAGCATCCTCTACCCCTGCTATGTTGGGATGATCAGGTTTCCGATACAGCAGTGATTTATCAAGGAGGCTGAGAGGCTAATACCTTGAGGGGAGCTGTCTTACCAAGCAAGACAGAAAGGGTAACAGTTCTGTTTGTGTTAGCGATTTGATGTCACCGTGACAAATTTTGCCTACCTGTAGTATGTGCACAAACTGCCGACTGTTGGAAATAATCCCTTTTGTACTAAACCATGAAAAAAAGACGACGCATCAAAAATAACATCAACAATGCGGGGGGGAGTGCGTGTGAAAGGAGAATATCAACCACAGTTTGACTTCGGGGGAATATTGCTTATAGTGAAAAGATAATGCTTAGGGAAAGTCTTGGCTCCACTGAGATCTTCACACAGCCCTTGGTGGGAGACAGCTCTGTGGGAGCAAAGGTCCTTGCACGTGAGTGTGAAGGGGAGTCAGGAGGAGTTTCACATGGGGAACCCACCAGGGTTTGATACAAATTCTTACCTTGCTTCGCCCCCCTCTTTCCTGCAGCATTTTGATAAACAGAATAACCTAGGATAGAAAATAATAATAATACCGCCATGATTTCTAACTGTATTTCAGAGAATTCTCCCTACCTCTGTGACCTTTATATTGCTGTCGAACCTCACCCGGTTGTAGCCCGGGAACTCTTCCCTTTTGCTGCAGTACGAGATGTATCAGGCCCATACCTGCAATGGTCCAGAATAAAACCAGAAGTGGTTCTGAGATAGAGTCTTCTTGTTTGAGTTAAAGCGAAGTGTTATCGTGTGGGTGAAGCTAAGGACTTGCAGCATGGCCATTAGTACTAGAAGTAGGTCCTCCATAATTAAAGGTAGGTGATAGCTTTCCAATTAATTACTTGTTTTCACCTTTTCATATAGTATAATAAAAGCATATACAACTGAGCTGAAAATATAGTAATTTTGGAACTTTATTGATATGCATTGTATATTAATAGTTAAAAGACGTTATCCATTTGAAAAGTAATACTATATCCTAAAACATATATATCTAGGTTTTATTTTCTGCATCTGTAGTATTAGAACTATCTATATCAATATTGCAGGTTTTCATATAGTATTATATTAAAACTATAGCAAACAGCATCTTGCCACTAGGACTACCATGTCAGCTACTCAAGGGATGTGAGCTTACTGTGTCACGAAATTACAAAGGGCTAAACTACATTAATAAGCAAAAAGCTGATAAGAAGTGGCAGATGAGGGATCAGGTTCTGAAGGACGTCTCGGACCCCCTGCCTGAGGCTGTGGTGTGCAGCCGGATGTTGTTGGGCATCCGTTCCTGTAATGCCCTAAAGAAGGTATATTTTCTCTAGCTGTAATTTCAGTTGAATGACCACTTCCTTTTATCTGGTACCCGAAAAATAAAGCATATAAGCGACTTCATACTGCTTTCTTTCAAGAGTGTGTCTATATAATCTTTATGTCTCCACTACCTCCTGTAATACGCAGGTGCCAAGTGGGTGCTAAGCACGGGAGTCTCTGTTTGAAGGTGAAAGGTGTGCGATAGCAGCTTCATCTCCTGTTTTAGCTCTCGCACTGGCTTTTGTATTTTGTAGTCAGCGCAGATGGTCCCCTGGGTTCTAACGTCTTACCGAAGACAAAATCCCTCTGATTATATAACGGTACTCTTGAAAAGAAGAAACCACGCAGGATAATGATTGTTGCATATGATCATATCTGTACATTTTTATTGGGCAGGAGATTAAAAATTGACAATCTCAGATTTTCAGTTGCAACATTCATTGAAAAATCACATCCATTAACTTAGAAGTCTACCTTTTTCAACAAAATGTCCAAACAGCTTTGAACATTATTTCTAACAATTTACTTTTTTTCTAATTTGAGTTGTTAAACAGTTTTTTAAGACATTGCACAAATATTTATTATCTACTGTAGTCGCTTTTTGATAGTGTATAAATTACTTACAATAAAAAAACTAATAACCATCTAATGTAATAATTTTCTACTATGGTATTGCCTTTAATGCTAGAACTGTTCGTATGTGTGACTTCTTATGTAAAAGCAAAACCAATATAAAAATAAATCACCGGTTAGTTTAAAATTGAACACACTAAATTAAATGACCTGATAAAATACTCTTTTGAGTTTTTTGTTTATTGTTAGATATATAACTTTGAGTAAGCTGTATAAGGGTAGTTCTTTTTCACATTTCATCTGGTATTTTAGATTAAATATGTATTTTTATTCCATAACATGGTAGTATAATTTATGAGTTCAAATTATTGCAAATGCTAAATAAATGCATTTTATCATTCTGAATAAATTCCTCCAAATTTGTTAAATCTATTTAATTTACATTTCAATTTTCAAATATATGCAGATCTAGTGTATCTATGTTTCTGACCAGTTTGCCTGGTTTTAGAATTATTGGGCTGTTTAATGTAACAGTAAAAGTGATACTTGTGAATGTCAAGAATTATATCTTTGGACCTAAACCTAAATGAGGTTATAGATTTTGAGGAGTGATTTCCCAGAACAGCTCTGTGCAGAAATGCTTGGAAAGTTAATCTGTTCCACTGAAATGCAGAGTATCTTCCTTTTGATCCTTGGAAAGTTGCAATCTGTCCAGGCTTTGAACTTCTTGGGGACGTACCATTTCTCAGGTAACATGAACCGTAAGGTAATGGCTTAGAGGAGCTTTCACGCGTTAAGGAACGGAATTGTCTCACGCTGTTATGGGCATTTTTGGACTCTTTTGTCTTGTCCGTAAGTACAGAGAATTTTTTTTAATGCTACAAATACTTGCACTCAAGTTGTTTATTTGGTTTCCTTCACAAGCTAGAAGCTTCACAAGTTTTTAATTTTGGGGGAGAAATCAGCAAATTTCTGATTCTACAGGAGTGAGTGGTGGGAGTCGCAGACATAGAAACTGCTGATCATAAATGTTCATAAAAGAAATACCTTCTATGGAGCATTACAGAGTGAGAATATTTTTCTCTTTTGGTGTAATCAAACAACAATGAAATCATTATGCAGTGAAGTCTTCTTTATGTGCAGTAACTAGAAGGTTTTTACACTCTTAAAAAAATGGTCTGGATATGGTATTCACACTAAGCTTTAAAACAACATTGGGGCATCCAGCTGTATTAAAAATATTACTGTATGCGATAATATGCTTCTTATCCACCACATGACGTGGCTATAGTTTTTCTCTCAAGTTCATTTTCTATAACTGCATTTTTCAAAAAATACATTTTGCATTGTGACAATATTTGCTTGATATGCTACATTTAAAATACTTCTTTAGATATACTTGGCCAGGCTCTTAATTGGTGTAAACCAAGGTACAACTTCCGACTTTGGTGGAATTTCATTGATTTTTACCAGCTGAAGATCACTGGAGTTGTAATGTCAAGGATTTTGTTACCTTTCCCAAATTGAGTCTATACATTATGACCATATGGTAAACTTTAATTGACTAGATATTTTACCATGGTGCTCGTAGTCTACACGTTCTAAACTCCATACATTCATTTTCTGATTTTTCAGTACTGTGCGTTGCCTGAAGACTTCTGTATATGTGGCAGTGCACATATTAATGCAATATGCCTAGTGGCTGTAAAATTTTACAAAGCTATATCAGCTTTCTTTATGGAAAGTAAAGATATTTTTACTATAAAAAGATCGTTTGATTTTTTTAATTAATGTGCCTTACTATCTAAATGTGTATGTTATTTTATAGATCATGTTTGCAGCAGGTATGGTTTTGTATATTATTTTATCTCCTTCCTTCTCCCCTTTCCTTCAGAAACACTAGAAGGTTTTGTCTTTTTTGATTTGTCAGTAAGATTATCAGAGTTTATTGGAATTCATACATTTATGAATATGAACTGGGCTTTTTTGTTACTTCTAACTGCAAAAATTAGTGTACCAACTCTAAGAATTACAAGACATTTTATTTTTTGTTTTCAACTGCTGTTTGATTCTATGGGTTTTATAAAATGTTGAGAGAATTTCTACCGTGAGTCTGAATTTTGACCTGTTGCAGAGATTCTGAAACTGATGAAGTCTAATGAAGCTTTGCCCTTAGTATTGCTGAGGATTTATTTTGACCTGGGGCATTAGGGCTCTTTATTTATTAAAACTCGTTAATACTTGCTGCTTTCAGTTGAATAATAATTTCCTAAGACATGGTGAGGAGCGCAATCCAGCAAAGAAAAGTTAATCCATTTTAAATGAGTCTTTTACCATCTTTGTTGTAACAGTATTTGTACATTAATGGCCTTTAAGTTGTATCTTTAAAATTTCTGTTCTGTGTTTTGCAACACATACATGCACAGTTAAGAAAAAAGCTGGATCTTCTACCAGTACAGGCTCTTTTAGAAGTTTCAGTAAGTAGAACTGCATTCATACAATAATTAGATAAAATAATGTATTGGCAGTCTTTTTTTTTCTGTGATAATTTTCAAATGTGCAAATC